TCCGAAATGTTTTTCAGAAGAGCAGATGTTTTTTTTTGGCAGGGGTGTTCTGACATTTGGCCCAGTGTAGATGGGCCAAATGTCAGGAAAGCCTCTTTGGAAAAAAAGAAGTGGAAAAAGCGACGTAAATTGCGATTTGCGATTTGCAATTTGCGTCACTTTTTCCGGAAGAACAGTGTTGTGTAGACATAGCCGGAGAATCACATCGTTTTCCCCGTTATATCCATTCAACCCCACCTTTTTCTTTTTAATAATTGACCAGTGATGTCAAATCTCAGGTTTTGCTCTTTTCCAGCTTTTTATATACAATCCCCTCTAATTTCAATGATTTCCTCACATGGTTTAGTTGCAGTAAATTGTTTTTTGGAGGGAAGCCGTTAGCTCTGAGTCATTTGCTTTGTGGGAGGAGGTGTATGGGAAAGGGGGGAGGTCAACTCCCCCCCCAGTGGACAACTCCCTGCCCCCCCATCTCAGAACTGAATTGTTTCTCCTTTTACACCCAGTAACACCAACCTGCTCCTGAAGAACGTGATCAGAGCCAGGCGCCGGGTCCCACGCCAGCTGCCAACCACAGAGCTGGCCAAACCCTGACAGGCCCCAATGGAGCAGAAAAGTGGGATGCTCAAGGGCTCTTCCTGCTTTCTGGCCCTGCTCCTGTTGGCAGCTCCCAGAGTGGGCGCAAACAGCTGCCCCAACCCCTCACTTTCCCCTCCCCAATGTCACCAGCAGCTCAGGCCAAATGGCCCCTGGAAGGGTCACTTCTCCCAGTGCTCTGACACAGCGACACCCGGGGGCAAGGGGTGGGGAACATGGTGGCTGTTCTGTGCCAGACAGGGCAGAGCTAGGGCACAGGAGGTGAATGGAAAAGCCACATTTGCCATGGAGACTGCCCAGCTCCCACTGAGTCCCCGTTGCTGCCCCCCAACCTCCCTGGTCCCCTCGTGAGCTGCCAGCCACCCACCTCTTACCCACTGCTGCTCCCTCCAGCCACCAAGGGACTCTCCGGCTCCATCCACCTCTTTGCCCCGTCAATGCAGAGTCACCCAGGGCTGCTCATGTCCGTGGCAGGGCTGGGGGGAACCAGCACCAGTTATGTGTTCAGTGCAGAGTGGCTAATTTCTGTAGAATAGCTCTGCACCAATCTACTATAGCATCTCCCCATTCTCTGTGGGGTCTGCCTCTTCTATTCGGACCATCCATTATGTCAAATACCAGGGTCTTAACTTTTCCCTCGTCATTCATTCTGCAGCTATTCCCAATAGCTGTAAACTTCCATTGTATAACTTTCTGCAGTAGGTTCTCTTTCGGCTGTATCTTCCTATATAATCCCTTGTTGATGACTTTCTGCTTTCATCCTATTCTCAGGATCTTTGTAGAATAACTCCTCTCGAACGCCAATTTCCTTCTCTTCGAATCTTTCATTATCACCCATGTTTCGCATCCATACAACATGCTGCTAAATACACACGTTTTCAAGACACTCGGCTTTGTTCCTAAGCTAACTGCTTTTCTTTTCCAGATCTTATCCATTGCCTTCAAACTCATTCTTGCTTTCGCTATTCTAGTCGCTATTTCCTTTTTATAGTCTAGATCATACGTCATGTTGCTCCCCAAATACGTGAACTTCTCCACATTCTCTAGTTCGATCCCATCTACACTGATATTCCTTCCTATTTCCTTATCTCCATATATCACTGTCTTTGTTTTATCGATATTCATAATCAGTCCGTACCGCTTCCCTTCCTCATTTAGCACCTGCACCGTTCTCGCTAGCTTCTCTTCTCCTCTCGAATGCCAATATCCTTCTCTTCAAATCTTTTGTTATCGCCCATGTCTCTCATCCGTACAATATGCTGCTAAATAAATACGTTTTCAAGATGCTCAGCTTCATTCCTAAGCTAATCACTTTACTTTTCCAGCGCTTATCTAGCGCCTTCAAACTCACTCTTGCTTTTGCTATTCTAGTCGCTATTTCCGTCTAGATCATACATCCTGTTGTTCCCCAAGTACGTGAACTTCTCTACATTCTCTAGTTTGAACCCATCTACACTGATCTACTTTCCTATTTCCTTATCTCTTCATCTCTTTGTTATCTATTTCCTTATTGTCTTTGTTTTATCAAAATTACTATTTTCAAATTAGCTTTCCTCCCCGAGGAAACAAGGGTACAGATTTCAAACCAAGCAGCCCCTTATTTTGAAATAACAAGAATCGTCGTGTGGACGCTCTGCGTATACATTCGAAATTATTAGTGTAGATCAGGGCTCAGTGATAATGGGTGCGTCCTGGAAGTGTATTGGATTTTCTCAAGAGCCAGGAAGACTTCTTCTGGGTGCAGACTTTGTTCCCCAGAATGTTCGCTAAGGACATGTCTACACTAAGGAGTTTTTTTTTAATGGCTCCCCTTATTTTGGCATAACAAGCATCCACGCTGCCCAGCCTGTTTTTTCGAAATTATAACGCCTGCTTGCGAAGAGGAATAAGCTTATTTAGAAATAGTGATTTGGGGAGTTATTATATAGAAATAATTTATTTTGAAATAACCAGCTAGTTTAGTTTAGTTTAGTTTGGGGTTATTTTGAAATAACTCTCTAGTGTAGATCAGGGCTCAGTGATAATGGGTGCGTCCTGGAAGTGTATTGGATTTTCTCAAGAGCCAGGAAGACTTCTTCTGGGCGTAGACTTTGTTCCCCAGAATGCTTGCTAAGGACATGTCTACACTAAGGAGTTTTTTTCGAAATGGCTCCCCTTATTTTAAAATGACAAGTGTCCACACTGCCCAGCCTGTTATTTCGAAATAGTAACACCTGCTTGTGAAGAGGAATAAGCTTATTTCGAAATAGTTATTTTGGGAGTTATTATATAGAAATAACTTATTTTGAAATTACCAGCTAGTTTAGACATAGCCTGAGCTCTTTCCTCTGTAGTTTGCTGGCTTGATTGCTTTATTTACCTTATATGTAAATGTACTTTTGTTGTCCCCTGACTGTGTTCAAGCCAGTCAGACTTTCCTTTGGCTAGGGCTGGCTGGGTTTACGCACTGCCTCTCACACGCATCTTAAGAATTTATTTCCAGCATTCATGTGTTACTCTTTGTACACAGCTGACACACAGATCACACAATGATTTTGGGGACCAGCATGTCACCACTTCACATATGACACTGTAGTGCATGTGTCAGACCTGATGAGTTATAGTACAATGGCTTTGGCAGTTGGTATTGAAGGGCTCATGGGACACTTTGGGAATATTTTGGCCCCTGGTGTTTCTGTACAACACCATTCCTCACCCCCCAACACCACCTTCTCTCTTTCCCACCCCGCACCCCACTGGCAGCTGCCTTTTCACCACCGCTGTCAGCAACTGTTTTCCCTCCAACGTCCCATCATCCACCCTCCTGCCCCATGGGCCTGTCCTCTCCATCACCAAACCACCCGTCTTGGAATCTAGTCACTGCACCCTCCTGGCTAATGCTGGGTGGGGTTTGCAATACAACATGGTTCTGAGCTCTGTTCCTTTCTGCAGCCTGGCTCAGGGCACAGGTGAGACCGAGGTCAGTCCTGTCTACACGACAGCGCCCCCAGGTGTGCTCTGAGGGTGTTGGCAGCCCCGTACATGCCATGGTTCCTGCAGGAACAGAGGGCTGGCAGGACCTGAGTCAGAGGGTTAGCAAGGCCCATCCCTCCCCTCAAACCTCTTCCTCCATAGCCTCCAGACTTCCCAAACTTCCCTGCTCTTGGATCCCCCCACTTCTGCCGGTTCCTACCTTCCTGTTGCCCTCCTTCCCCCCAGCTCCTTCTCCTCACACTGGGGTCTCCTCCCCCATGTCATTCTGCCCCTGACGCTTTCTCCTTGTGGTCTCCCTCCCCACCGCATTACATTCCCCCAACTCCCTCTTCAAAGTCATTCTCTTGCGAGCTGGGCTTCTGCACCCCGCTCCCCACCTAGCCCTCCTCTATGGGAGTCAGGCCTGAGAGTGCAGTCACTCACACCCCTTCTTCCCCTTGCTTACCCCAGAGCCCATCAGCCTCCTGCTCCAGCGCCTTCTCTGCCCCAGCCCACAGGCCTGGTATTGCCACTTCTGCCAGTTCTTACCTTCCTGTCAACCCCCTGGCCTGCACTTGGACGGGACCATCTCTGATGCAGGTGTCACTGTCAGGGACCGTGATGCTCTCCAGCCTGACCTGGGACCGGACAGATTACGAGGGGAGCTGCGTTTTTACCCTCCTCTTTGTAACCAATATAGAAATAAGGGCGGAGCGTCCCGGAGAAGGTGTCAGTGAAAGTGAAGAGATGGGACCCGCCAGTCACACTGTAAAATGAGACCTCGCCCGCCTCGTAGTCCAGGAAAATCCCCACCCGCCTGGGCCTGACACCCAGGTCCAAAGGGGTCGGGGGAAAGGTGCAGGCCTCATATTTCCCATTCCTCAGCCACACTGTCCAGTATCCATTCCCAGGGGTGAGTTTGACCTTCCCCGTCCTGATCACAGGTTCCCTGCAGACCCCCACGGTCCAATTTGTTTTGTCTCCCATCTCCACCTCCCAGTAGAACCTCCCGCCTGTGAAGGCGCTTGCGCCCAGGACGACGGGATAGGTACGGAATCTCTCGGGATTGTCGGGTCGATCCTGTTGTCGGTCCTCGTAGGTCACCGTTTTCCCATCCGCAGACAGGACGAGGTTGGCGTGAGCCGTGTCTGGGTCCAGAGTCACGTCCACTGGGGAGAGAGGCACAGAGTCAGGGCCAGGGGTAGGAGCCTGGGACCAACGGGAAATGAACTCACATGACCAGGTATCACTGTGACTTGATGTTCTTTGCCTTCCAAAGGGAGTCAGGAGCTCAGCTAATGCTGGGGGGCCGGGCTGGGCTGGGGGAGGGTCAGGTGAAGGGAAGAGTGCGGCGAGGGAGTGGAAAGGAAGGAAAAAGGGAGAGGTCCAGGCAGCAGCAGCAGGAGGGGTGAGGCAATCACCAAGGAATCAGAGGGGGAAGAAAAGGAGAGTGCCGGGGGATGGGGCAGGACACCAGGGGTAAAGGAAGTGGGAGCGGGGACTCAGATCCTTTCGCTGGTTCATTTCACCGGGGTGGTATAGAAGCCAGGAAAGTTCCCCACAATAGCGGGATCATTCCCCCGCTTACACATATACAGCTGAGCCCCCGGGATCCAGAGCCGGACTCACACCCTCCCAGACTCCACGCAGCTCTCGGCCAAGAGATAGGTGCCAGTGTCCTGAGCGGGGGAGGGGTATTTTGGGGTAGCGCTGAAGACTGTGTACACAGCTGGGCTATGGTGGCAGTGATCTCGGTGCGGCTGGCTCGGCGCAGGGCCCAGAGCCATTAGCCTTGCTCCAGGCCAGTCTGACCCTCATGCTGCTCACACGTGGGGACGCTCACAGGTAGGATGAGACCTGTCCAAGGAGCAATGGGCTCACGCTGCAGCTGGGGAGACTGAGGCTGGAGAGGAGGCGACTTTCAGGGCAGCGACGCTCTGGGCCAGGCTCCAGGGTCACTGGGGATTTGTAAGAACAGGACAAACTCCTATGAGGGATAATGTAGGTCCTGTGACAGTGCAGGGGGCTGGAGGGACAACCTGTGGAGATCCCTGCCTCTCTTTTCCATTCAGGTGCAGATTTTTTTTTTCCATTCAGATGTAGAATAAATTTTGTTATGTGCTCCAAGGCCTGTGCAAATGTGCACCAGCAAAAGAAACAACAAACCTAGCTCTGGGCACCCTGCTAGTCAATGGGGCAGCCGTGGAATCTGTCCTGCGAGGCCGCACAAGCCCCCAGCTTACAGGGAACACCGGTCCCTTCCAGCCCTACGCTGCAGTGAGCCTAGGTCACAGCTGTTCCGGGGCTGGACATAGGCCATGGCGGATCTAGGCCAGGGGTGGGCAATAGATTTTGAAGGGGGTTCAATTCACAAATTTCAGAAGTGAACGAGGGCTGACCTGGAAGGGGCGGGGCTTTGGGCGGAAAGGGGCGGGGTTCAGAGCTACCCTTGTCTGGGGATCCCTGCCCCTTGACTTCTGGCCAATGGAAGAGACCTGGAGCAGAGCGGAGGGTGCTGGGGGCCAGCCTCTTCCCAGAGTTGTCTGGGGTGCGAGCCCCTTTCAACTGCTCCTATTGAAAGGGCTCGTGCCTTCCCCCGGGCTGCCTGGAACAGCCTCACAGGCCGGATCAAAGCCCTCGGCGGGCCGCGTCCAGGGGGATCCCTGCCCCTTGACTTCTGGCCAATGGAAGAGACCTGGAGCAGAGCGGAGGGTGCTGGGGGCCAGCCTCTTCCCAGAGTTGTCTGGGGTGCGAGCCCCTTTCAACTGCTCCTATTGAAAGGGCTCGTGCCTTCCCCCGGGCTGCCTGGAACAGCCTCACAGGCCGGATCAAAGCCCTCGGCGGGCCGCGTCCAGATCCACTGAGAGGCTTTTGCCTTGGCAGTGTTTGGCACAGAGCGCTGCCTGTGCCCAGCGGAGCAGGGCGCTACGGGGCTGTGCGGGCAGGATCTGGGTTGGCCCACGTTTCCCTGGGTGGCCCCTTTGCTCAGGTCGCTCGCCCGGGAAATCTGCGAGTCTGCCCAGCACACGACAAGCCCCGGGTGGGTTGGAGGCTGCAGCAGGCGAGCTGGGATGGGGGGGAGGGAGAGAGCAGTGCCTGGACCGAGGGAGCTCTGGCTCCAGTGTGCCTGGGAGCCCCACGGTCAGGGCAGGGCCCAGTCACACTGCACCGGGACCGGCTGTGGGCTAAGCGCTGGGGGAGCTTTGGTGAGACGTCCTGCTTGTTCTGGAGTAGGAGCCCGTGGTGGCTGGTGGCCTCTCCTGGGGCGGGATGGGGACACCGGCACCGGGACCGGCTGTGGGCTAAGCCCTGGGGGAGCTTTGGTGAGACGTCCTGCTTGTTCTGGAGTAGGAGCCCGTGGTGGCTGGTGGCCTCTCCTGGGGCGGGAAGGGGACACTGTGGCCTGGGTGCAGGGTTGCAGGTGTATGTGGAGCAGGGTGGCAGTCCTGACAGTCCCCCTTGGACACTGCAGCGTGCCTGGGCTGGGGTGCACGCAGCCCCGGAGCTGCCCAGCCCCTCCCAGCACAGGCCAGCACGCCCACAGCCACGCAGCAGGCGGGGAGCGAAGGCGCACACGGCTCAGCCAGCCCCGTGAGGCGGGGACGCGGCTGCCCTGTGGGTGCCGTCTGTCCTTGCAGATCCGGGGAGCATCCCAAGCTGGTGCTAAAGCCTGTCTGCCTGTCAGTGGGGACAGGGCCCGCCTCCCCCAGAGCTGGGGCCCTGAGCAGCACATCTCTGGGCACGAGGTACGAGAGGGAAAACGTCAACCGGAGCCTGGTGCTGCCACGGGGGTGAGCAAGTTGACCTGCCCACCGCCAGTGATGAATAGAGGAGAATAATCATCTGGTGAAGGTGCCATCGGGGGCAGCATTTCCTCATCCATCCTCCCTTTCCCAGCGGGGACAGGTCCCTGCACTGCAGCACACCTGGGGTGTCGCCAGTCGCTTTCCATCGCTCCCCGCAGGGCACTGCTGTTTCCAGCCTGTTGGCTGTCACAGGAGAGTGCTCCATGCAGGGAAGGGAGCCGAGCTCCCGGGGAGGGCTAAGATACCGGCGGGGTGTACAGTACCTGCACAGAGCTGGGCGCGTCTCCACCCTGCAACCAAACACAGAGAGGGGTGAGACTGCCCTGAGCACAGACACGCTGAGCAGGAGACAGGGTCACACTAGGGTGCGGGGGGAGGAAGGAACTTACTGAGCTCTGCCTGGAGTTTGTCTGAAAGCAAAGCACAGAGACAGGAGTCAGTGCCACCAGCCCACACGCCCCCGCCGACAGAGGGTGGCAAAGAGGGCAATTGGCCAGGGGCCTGAGCGTTTTAAAAGGGCCTGGTGTTTTCCTCCCACCGGCTGGGAGACCTGGGCCCTTTTAAATTCTCCGGGCGGGCTGCAGGGCTCCTCCTGAGTCCCAGCGCTCATCAGGAGACAGGCTGGGGCAGGAGGCAGCCCCACGGGGAGCCCAGCCAGCAGCGGGGGAGGCAGAGCTGGGGCAGGGGGTGGGAGGAGCCAGCCAGCATGTAGGTGAGTGGGGAGGGGAGAGCCAGCAGGGAATGGAGGGGGAGCCAGGCGGGGAGGAGAAGGAGGGACTGCTGGGGAGCACCTCACTACAGAGCACCAGGAACAGGACTGCAGGGAGTAAGGGCTCAGGGGGGGCAGAGGAAGCAGGCTGGGAAGGGAAAAGAGCTGGGGGGAGGGGTGGCAGAGGAGAGGAACCAAGGAAGGGATGGGGACACAGGACCACTGGGGGCAGAGAGCTGAGAGACAGATGGAAAAGGAACCAAGGGAGGGGACAGGACTGCCAAGCTGGGCCAGGGGCATCAGAGGGGCACCCTGTTACATGTGGGGGATGGGGCTATGGCCATCCAGGTGGTTGGCTGGTGATGCTTGGGGTTCCTCTCAGTGGGGGAGGGGTTTGTGGCTCTCTCCCAGGGAAGGGGCCAGTTCCCCACTGATTGTGCTGTCCTGGAATCCCTGTCTGTGGCCTCAGGCCATTGTAAGGTTATTGTAAGGAGGAGTCTCGTTAAGCTCTGAGGCGAGGATAGGAAGCCATGGGCTCTAATCACAGTCAGGTTAAAGATTTCAAAGCAGGTTGGGCAGGCACCTGTCAGGGAGGGTCTAGAGAAAACATGGTCCTGCCAGGAGAGCAGATTCTGGACTCAATGTCCTCTCAAGGTCCCTTCCAGCCCTGCAATTCTATGACTGTCCTGCAGAAGAGGAGTGAATCAAAAAGACCGTAAATCAAGGAAATGTAAAATCTTGAGACTCAGCCTGGCCCTGGCGGCTACGTCGGCAGCCACAACCTGGAATCAGCAAGGGTGCGTCTACAGGCAGCAGCGTTATTTCAGAATAATGGCCGTTATTCCAAAATAACACGAGCGTCTGCGCAGCCATTCGGTTACTTCAAAATACATTCGAAATAACGGGGGGCTTATTCCGACTTCTGTAAGCCTCGCTCCACGAGGATAACGCCTCTTCTGAAGTAGCTATTTTGAAATAGCGGTAGGTCGTGTGGACGCTCCACTGCGGCTATGCCGAAATAGCTCCTCCCCAGTGCTCCCGGGGATCTGAATCGAGATAGCGCGTCTACATTAGGGAAACCTGCCTCGGACTCATTTTGAGGCTTCCCTGCAGTGTAGATGTGCTATTTCGAAATAAACTTTCGCCAAAAAAAATTCCGAAACAGCTTATTTCGAACTAACCGTGCAGTGTAGACCTAGCAAAAGAGAAGAAACACAGGAACCCTCTCCCCCACTTGGCCTGGTGCAAGGGTTTATTAGAGCCAAACAGGCACCCTTCAGCAAATGGAAAATACTAACTCGATGGAGCCAGGAGAAGGGAGCATACAGGCCGCTGATGGGGGCGGGGAGCAAAGGGGCAGTGGCATTGGAACACGGCTATTTTAAAGCGTTTATGAAAACCGAGTGTGATTCTTGGTTGAGGGGAGCAAGGCTGCACACTGCACTTGGTGGGATTCCTGCCTTTCTGCAAGGGGGGCATTTTTGAAAACCACGTCCCCTGCAGCTCCCGTGTTTCAGGGTCATGCTCTAGACATCGGCGGGCAGAACAGAAGCCTCCTGATTTTGGTGAAAACTGGAAAACTTTAAACCCTCGATTTCCAGTCAAATCACAGGGTAACGATCCTACCGGATACCAGGGAGAAGGGGGGGCGGTGATCTCATGGGTTCGGGCAGGGTTAGATTAGTGGGGTGCTCATTCCAACCCTGCCACCCTTCAGCCTCTACACACCCCAGGGTCAGAGCCCCGTTGATCAGGGTGAAAATCAGAAGCATGGAAATGGCAGGTTTTAGAGGAATGTGGTTTCCAGTTTTCACCCGACTGAACATGGAGCTGCCCGGAATGGAGGGTGGGATGAGGTGAAGGACCGTCCTGACTGCAGTGGGGCTCAGGGTTCATTTGGGGGGTAGAGCTCCACCTAGGGGAGTAACCAAGTGTGTGCCCCTCTCTGTGCAGGCCCGTGCTCAGGGATGGGGGGTACTTTTTTTTGTAAATGTGGACCCCAAGGGTCTTAATGCACCCCCCATGGTCCCTCAAGTAAGTGGGGAAATCAGCCCCAGTCTTGCCCCAACCGGCCAGAGCATGGGCGAATATGGGGGGTGCTCTGGCACCCTTCACCTGCCCCTGCTGTGTTCTGGCAGTGCCGTGAGGGCATCGCACAGACACAGAGGAGCTGCCAGACTCTGCCCAAAGAGCTCCCAGTCTGACCAGACAGGACAGGCACTGGGGTAGGACGCACAAGCGGAGCTGGTGAAGGGATGGTGCAAATGGCAGGTCAGTGCCACCACTGAACAGTCACCCTGCGCTGTGCGGGGGGAGGAGATGAGCTGCATGGAAAGGCGGGGAGCAGGGAGGAGGAGGGGAGCGAGATAAGTTGGGGACACTGGGAGGAGGTTGGAGCCGGCACAAACAGGGCACAATGACACTGTAGCAAGCAACATGAGGATAGTCGACTCTGCCCAAAGAGCTCCCAGTCTGACCAGACAGGACAGGCACTGGGGTAGGACGCACAAGCGGAGCTGGTGAAGGGATGGTGCAAATGGCAGGTCAGTGCCACCACTGAACAGTCACCCTGCGCTGTGCGGGGGGAGGAGATGAGCTGCATGGAAAGGCGGGGAGCAGGGAGGAGGAGGGGAGCGAGATAAGTTGGGGACACTGGGAGGAGGTTGGAGCCGGCACAAACAGGGCACGATGACACTGTGGCAAGCAACATGAGGATAGAGTCAGCCGCTCTCCGGATCCCTGACCACCCTCTGCCTGGCAGGGTTGCGCTGGGAGGGGTGACAAGTCCTGCAGCCGGCTCACTGCAGGGTCCCAATGCTGGCCACACCGGCAGCAGAGTGAGGCCAAACCTGCTCCCTCCCTGGTCGTGTGGGAGCAACAAGCCCCCTGTGCGTGGAGCGGAGTCTTGTCTGTTCGTTCCGTGTCCTGAGGGCGAGGGGGAAGGCGCCGCGTTTCTGCGTGCACTGCGCCAGGCAGACTGTTCCTAGGGAGAGCTCTCGATACCTGCCCCCGAGAGGTCTGTGAGGCTGGCTGTAAAGTTTAGGACACTCCCCACCCCCTTTACCCCACACAGCCCTTTGCAAGGAACAAAGGGACCTCACCTTTCTCTGCCTGATGTGCCGCTGGAAGTGAACAACAGGAGAAGGGGGTTACAAGGCAGCAGACTTCACTATTGCAAACACAGGGCAAGATTTCTATTGGTGGCCCTGCCTCGCCACTCCCACTGCCAACACTGTACCGAGACACAATGCCCAGTGCAGGTAAAATGCTGAGTGGGAAGCAAGCCCCTCTCCCCCCCTACTTAATGGTGTGTCTGCCTGTCTGCAATGGGATAACTTTTGAAAACTACGAATTACACCGTTTCAGGGCACGTTCTAGGCACCAATGGGTAGCAACCTCCTGCTCTGGGTGAAAACGGGAAATCTGTCGTCGCCTGAAGGGAGCCGGTGTGACAGTCACAAAAACGGAGAGGTTTCACTTTTTGCCTATACACCGGCAGGGCCACCTGCAAGTTTCTCGTTGCGCTGTGGACCTAACCCTAGGGTAGACACAGGAACGGCTCCTCTTTGCATCTGAGCAGTCACTGCTTCGCCCGTCCGCAGCTCCTATGTACCACGAGGGGAGGAGGGGCAGATGCACCGACTGGAGGCCAGAATGTGGCTCTACCCGCCCCCAACTTCATGTGCTGTTGCACCGACTGGAGGCCAGAATGTGGCTCTATCCACCGGCAACTTCATGTTCTGTGTTTTGGTGCTTGCAGCCACGGGACATAGGACAGCGCATGGCCTGGCCCTGCTGCCTGAGCCGCACGCAGCCCTCCACACGGGGCCGTGCTGATCCTCAAGGAGCACTCCGCTGGGCTCCCCAATGAGACTGGAAGGGCGGCAACCATCGGACAATTCTCAGTTCAAGCATGAAGCCACAATTCACTCAGCTCCCTCTTCACCCGTCGCCACCGTTCCAAACCCTGCCCGCCATGACACCCAAGCCCCTCAAGCCCTACGCCTCCATTTCGTTGTAAAATCTGCTCCCCCGCCCCCGGTCGGCAGCATCCTCCCTTCTGGTTACTTTACCTTTCAGCCTGTGTTGCCTCCTGGACCAGAAGGCCAAGGCAATGAGAACACCCAGCATCACACCCAGGATCCCGCCCAGAGCCAGCATCCAGGGGGAGAACCACGGGTAAAAGAGATCTGCAAGGAAAAGCGTCATTGGCTTGAACGTAAGAACGGCCAGCAGTGTCCTGTCTGCCCACAGTGGCCTATGCCAGATGCCCTAAAGGGCGGGAACACAACAGGTACTCCCCATGTGATGCCTCCCCTATAATCCATTTCCAGACAAACAGAGGCTAGGGACACTATCTCTACCCACCCTGGCTAATCGCCATTGATGGACCTCTGGCAAGGAGTTCCACAGGTTGTGCGCTGAGTGAAGAAAATCTTCCTTTTGTTTGTTTTAAACCTGCTGCCTATTAATTTAATGATTTGGGAGCAACCGTGCAGACTACAGGCAGGACACTGACTCATGGGGAAACACACAGGCTACGTCTACACTACGCATTGTTGCGCAAGAAGGATATGGAAATGAGGCGCAACGGTGAATATTGCCATGCCTCATTTGCATACCTAATGAGCTGCCATTTTTGCGCAAGGGGCTTTTGTACGAGAAGAAGCTGTCTACACTGCTCCTTCTTGCGCAAAAAACCCCTTTTGCGCAGGAGCCGTGCTTCCTGAAAATAAGAGGCAGAACGGCACCTGCGCAAGAGGGGGGGTTTTGTGTAAGAAGGAGCAGTGTAGACAGCTCCTTCTTGCACAAAAGCCCCGTCAGCAAAAATGGCGACCCATCAAGTTTGCAACTGAGGCACGGTGATATTCACATCTTCTTGTGCAACAATGTGCAGTGTAGACATAGCCACAGGGAACTGTGGCTTATCTGTTTCTTATTAAGCCAATGAAAGTCCAGGCTTGAGCCTGGTGACTCAGCATGACTAAATAGGGGAAGGGCGGGCATAGGGTGGAGCTGAACTATGCTTAGACTATCCTCCTATGCTAAAAGCTATCAGGAATATTTAGGCTACAGAAGTGAAATGTAATTATTAATTCTGTAGCACAGGCCTACTTAGAGCTTAGAATAAATTAGCATTAACAGGAGTGTTGTGAGCAAGACATGAGAAGTCATCTGTCCGCTCTCTGGGGAGTGTAAGGAGCCCCGAAGTTTAAGGGCTCCGGGGCCAGGAGGGGGGCAGAAGAGTTTCCCTGGTGTTGCCCAGAGTGGCCACCAGGGAAAGCTGGGGAGGGCTAGCCTCCCACTAATTCGAATCAATTGGCCACACAGCCCTTAATTCAAACTAATTAATTCGAACTAGGTGTTAGTCCTCGTACAATGAGGTTTACCTAGTTCGAATTAAGCGCTCCGCTAGTTCGAATTAAGTTCGAACTAGCGGTTCGCCTGTGTAGCGCCTATCAAAGTTAATTCGAACTAACGTCTGTTAGTTCGAATTAACTTTGTAGTGTAGACATACCCTTCCATTCTATATGCATAGCTGGGATTATGGTTTCCAATGTGCATGTAGCAACATTGGATTTCATCCGATATTTTGTTGCCAGTTTTTGTGAGAGCCCTTTATAACTCTTCACAGTGTGCAATGGATTTAAATCAGGGGTGGGGAACCTTTTTTGAGGCAGGGGCCACTGACTCACAGGAAAAAAAAAATCAGTCAGAGGCCGCACGCAAGTGAGAAGCAAAAAACAAACAAAACACGAACCTTCGCTGATGTGGCCCCTGACTGAGAAGGAGAAAGACTCTCCCCACATTCCCCTCCCGCACCAGAAACTAGGGGGGCCTAGGCTGGTAGAGTCTGGTGTTCCAGTGGAGTGTGTGTGTGGGTTTCACAGTGTGTGTGGGGGGGAGGGGTTCTGTGCTTCAGGGGCTAGATCCAGCCTCCGGGACTGAGGTTCCCCACCCCTGGCTTTTGCGCAAGAGGGCCAGTGTAGACAACTCAGAATTGTTTTGCGCAAAAAAGTGCCGATGGTGAAAATGGCGATCGGGGCTTTTTTGCTCAAAACCGCGTCTAGATTGGCACCGGATGCTTTTGCGCAAAAGTGTCGGTGCCAATCTAGACGCTCTTTTCCGTAAATGCTTTTAACAGAAAAACTTTTCCGTTAAAAGCATTTGCGGAAAATCATTCCAGTCTAGACGTAGCCAATGAGTTTGTTTCTGTATTTGCCACATGCTGAGGTTTTGAAAAGAAGCTGTGAGTTTGGATAACACTATTTACCAGAGCTCGGTAGATATCACAATAGGGCTGTGAGTAGTGGGAGGTGAAAGGTTTTGCTCTCTCTCTACTTTGCCACACTGCAAAGTCATTATTACAGGAGACAGCCCTAGGAAGCAGCCCCTCTGCCCCAAACTACTCTCCCTCAGCCTTCAGCCAAAGTACCTCATGTGGGAGGAGGAAGGAGGCTGCCAGCCAGCAGCCCACTGCCCCAGCACAGCACCATTGGGAGCTGGGCCCGGGCTGAACAGCCCAGAACTCTGGGCCCCCCCAAACCTGAGAGGAGCCCTGCCCCTCTCCCCAAGGAGCCAGCAGCTGGGGCTAGGAACCACAGCCCCACCTTCCACCCAGGTCGCTACAGTGACCTCCTTGCTGCTGCGGACCCTCCCAGATCCCCGCCCTGATCCCTCCTCCACCTTCCAGTCCCCACAAGATGTATTCTCAAAATGGGGAGAGCCGCTCGGTGGGATAGCTGCCCTGAGGGTGCTGCTCTCGTCAGAGAGGGAAGCGTTTCAAATGTACTCGCTCCCTGAGCCCTGGGGAAGTAAGTGAAGACAGAAACTAGCACTTCTCTTCACAGGTTCACCCGTGAAATTGACAGCACAAAACTCTGTGGCTGTGTCTAGACTGGCAAGTTTTTCCGGAAAATCATCTGATTTTGCGGAAAAACTTGCCAGCTGTCTATACTAGCCGTTTGAATTTCCGCAAGAACGCTAGATCTCATGTAAGATCGTCAGTGTTCTTGCGGAAATACTGTGCTGCTCCCGTTCGGGCAAAAGTCTTTTTCCGAAAGACTTTTGCACAAAAGGGCCAGTGTAGACAGCACAGTACTGTTTTCCGCAAAAAAGCCCTGATCGCGAAAATGGCAATCGGGGCTTTTTTGCGGAAAACCGCGTCTAGATTGGCACGGACGCTTTTGCGGAAAAGCATCCTGCCAATCTAGACGTGCTTTTTCCAAAAATGCTTTTAACAGAAATTTTTTCCGTTAAAAGCATTTCCCGAAAATCATGCCAGTGTAGATGTAGCCTGTAAGTCTAGACACTCAGACCAGGGCTCTCTTGTGCTATTGGGGGTAAAATAGGCTTTCTTACCCAGATTTTCATAAACACTCAGCCCCCAGCAACCCTCAGTGAGAAGAAAGAGAATTCGCCCCCCACACACACTCCACCATACATTGTGATTGTTACAGCGCACGGAGTAGATACAAACATAAATGCTCTGGCAAGAAGATGGCAGCTTAAGATGACTTTATGTCTCCGAATCCAGAACCTTAACGCATAAGAACCACATGTTGGGGAAAGGGGTTGCTTCCTAAGTGAGAGGGCTGACCTTCCCGCACCTTGCTTTCCATTGGCTCATCCACAGCAACTAACCTAAGAATAGCCAGACTGGATCAGGCCAAAGGTCCTTCCAGCCCAGTGTCTTCTCTGCCGACAGTGGCCAATACCAGGTGACCCTCGAAAGGTCATCGAGTCCAGTCCCCTGCCCTCATGGCAGGACCCAGTACTGTCTAGATCATCCCTGATAGACTTTTATCTAACCTACTCTTAGATATCTCCACAGATGGGGATTCCACAACCTCCCTGGGCAATTTATTCCAGTGTTTGACTGCCCTGACAGTTAGGAACTTTTCCCTAATGTCCACCCTAAACCTCCCTTGCTGCAGTTTAAGCCCGTTGCTTCTTGTTCTATCCTCAGAGGCCAAGATGAACACCCTTTTAGATATCTGAAAACTGCTATCATGTCCCCTCTCAATCTTCTCTTCTCTAAACTAAACAAACCCAATTCCTTCAGCCTTCCCTCATAGGTCATATTCGCTAGACCTTTAATCATTCTCGTTGCTCTTCTCTGGACCCTCTCCAATTTCTCCACATCTTTCTTGAAATGCGGTGCCCAGAACTGGACACAATACTCCAACTGAGGCCTAACCAGCGCAGAGTAGAGCGG